ATGCTGCTGCTTACAGAAAATTGAAAAGAATGAAGATCTTTTGTCAGCATATGAATTAGAAAAGCTAAAACTATCCAAGCAGAAATCTTCGACCATATGCGCATGTCCCTTAAATGCCGACCAACTCAAAGCAATTGCAAACAAATCTCACTTGGCCGAAATGATATCAGAACTTGAGCATATCTCTGAGATAACGGCCTCTTGGCTGGCCTCTTCTTCTGTAAGCAGCAGCATTGTTCCACCACCTACGAAATCTCATCTGCTAGCCAATGGTTGCCCTGTGAATGTTCCTAATCAAAACCCGCCTTCAACACCTCAATTGGGAGGCAAAGAGGTCCTTGAGTTATGGATGGCCCTATATAGACTTGATACTCTTCCTTCAGGATTCCTTGCAAACGAAGATCTAATGAGCCTCCAATCTGCAAATTCCATCATACAATCACTAATGGGGGCCCCAGATCAGCAAAAAAGCCTTGAATCAATCATCTCCTGGATGTCCCAAAGCTCTTCTGCTGAGGACACTGAAAGAAGCAATCCAAGTGCGGAGGATAATCTTTTTAGCTTTGGTCCCTCATACTCTCTTGTAAGATACTGTATTAAAAAGATTCTAGCTTCGCCAGCATCTTTACTTCATCCGAAAAGCGAAAAGAATCCCACAAAGATAGAAGAAAAAAATCTCAAGCCTAAGAAGACCGAAGAAAAAAACGTTCCACCGCCCTCAATTGTCTCTACTCCGACGCCAGTGTCCGTTTGTGAAGAGAATACCTTTGTACAATGGAATATTCTTCCTTCTTTGGATAGTGCAATCATTGAGACGAACAATTCTTTTTTGAAAGAAGACACAATGCCTAAAAAGCAACCCGCCTTTGTCTTAAAGAAGCTGCAAGCTACAACCTTGCCTGCTTCAGAAGAAGAACCGGCCCATCGCCCGCGTCATCAAAAAAAGCTCACTAGCGCTAAACAGTCAGCACCCAAGGCCTTTGATATATCCAAAAATCCCAAGTAAACCATGTCATATTGAGTACTGATAATATCCATAGCTTTTTACAGGATTTATTGAAATAAAAATTATCCGAATATCACAAGCAACAAGACAGCAATGAGATTGAATACAATTAAAGGCACTGATTGTTAAAATCTCGTACTTACATGTAAGGCCCTCGCGGACCCCAGTGATGAAGCTTGCAATTCGGCTTTTCAGCCCCTCGGATTGATCGGCAACAAGCCCAACTAAAGAAAAGCACAAGCTATTTAAAACTTTTTCGCAGAAACCGCTCTTTATTCAGAATCGCCATGCCATTGAGGAAGAGCAAGGCGGAAAGGCCAAGAGACCAAAGGCCAAAAGACATGAATTTACAATAATTTAAATTTAAATTCAAATTTATTAAATTTCTTCTCCCAACCGAGCTACAAATGAAGTAAGTTGTGGCCTTTTCATCCKTCCGTCCCCAGCTCACAATGGACATGATTTCGGTGTTTTTGTACTAGAATTGTTCCCTTGATATAATTTTTGTTTCTAAATGTTAGGTTGGACGTATGCGCATTTTCCGGATATAAGATCTACCCAGCCCGCGGAGTTCTATTTGTTAGAAGTGACAGTCGTCCCTTTCGCCTGTTATCAGGAAAATGTGAAGCTCACTTCCTTTTAAAGAAAAACCCCCGAAAGTACAACTGGACCGTCTTCTATCGTCGTTTGCATAAAAAGGGATCCACTGAATCTTTGGTAAAACGCCGTGCCCGTCGTACTGTGAAAAGCATGAGGGGGATCATTGGGGTAACCCCAGAGACCATAAAGGCCAAGAGATCCCAACCTGTTGAACTACGTGAAGCAGCTCGCGCAGAATCTCTCCTTCAGGCCAAGCAGAAAAAAAAAGATCAACAAGCGGCAAAAAAGCAGGAAAAGATCCGCAATATTGCCACTCGTGCATCTGAAAAGTCAGCACAGCTTAAAGCCAAAAGCGCCAAATCCATGAAGACAAAGCCTCTTGCCCGCTCTCGCTAACCAATAAATGTTTTTATTTAGGGGATTTACTTTGGCCATGCAGCGTTGCCTCTGCATGTGTTCCTTTTTTGCAACCCTGATTTTGGTTTAATTTAATCGAATCTGTAAATTGCCAAATTATTCGATTTCTTTTAGGGTTGGCCTTTATGAGTACGTTATCCGCATCTATTGCCACTGCCAATAGCGGCTCTTCTTCGTCTTCGGCATCTTCTTTTGGATCTGATGGTACATTTTAGCGGTAGAATTTTACTTTTAGAGCTCCAGCAAAAGCGGAAAGATGTTGCTGAGTATAGCGGAGACATTTTTTATTCTAAACGATACTCTGATGATCTCTATGAATACAGGTTATTTGTTTTCCCTTTATTTTTAGGTATTGAAGCTTGATCTCATATTAATTGCTTGTAGGTACACATCTATTTTAAAATTTCGAATTTAGGTACGAGGCTTAATCAATTATTTCGACTTTAGGTACGAGGCTTAATCAATTATTTCGACTTTAGGTACGAGGCTTAATCAATTATTTTGACATTAGGCACGTAATTCTCCCAAAACAGCTGAGTAAATATTATTGTGGAAGTCGCCTGCTGCTTGAGCATGAGTGGCGGGGACTTGGAATTCAGCAAAGCCCCGGCTGGACCCACTATTTGATCCACAAGCCAGAGCCGCATATCCTCCTCTTTCGCCGTGACAAGGGATCAATAGAAACATAAAAATAAGATGCACAAGTAC